ACACTTGCCGCAGAAAAGCGTGGCTCAACATTATTTATGCAGATTTTCTTTCTATTTTTTTTCTTTTTAGCCCGTTTTTTTCGCTTGAAACAAAAGACGAAGAGACAGTGGGCGCAACAAGCGTGTGAACTAGCACCAGGGCTATTTCTATACCCCCAGCACAGTGGGACTAAAGCAAAGTTTTAGATGAATAAAATATAAATATTTAGCAAGAAGGAAAGCTAAGTTATGAAAGATGGATTTTGTAAAGCCTTGAAGTTTGCCATTCAAACAGGGAACCGAATTTAAAATCATTCATTTAACTAGGAAACTAACTAGGAAATGAATTATTTTAATTCAGAAAGCTTTCCTGTTAAATTTTTAATCATTTCTACAATAATTTATAATGTAATCTCTGAAAAAAATTTTGAACACAACTTGAACCAATCTTTTTGTTGTTTTTATGGAAGCTATATGATATAGTAGTCCGATAAAATTATACACTAAATTCTAGATTAATATATAATGGCTATTTATGAAATTTGATGAAAATCTGTTGAAAACTGTACAAGTTTTATTTAATTTTTCTTAAAATTGTCCGATCGTTCCTATGCCAGTTATATATATGTATATATATAGTCCACCGATTTGCCATGCTCCAATTTATATACTAGTAAAATTATATAGAAGAATAACTCTATAGTTTCAGTCAAATAGCTTGCTCTTTGTTCCAAAACAAATCTCGCACACGTGTGCATATGATTCCCAACTGGTTCAAACATCCCCGGAACGAAGTAACTTCTGCCGGCCAGGTCTCAGAAATGTGTTGTGTTAAAAAAGTTGCAAGTCATTGTTTATTAGTGTTCAATGTTAGTAACTGATCATACATACTTACTGGTTATAGATACTTAATGGTCATAGATACTTGCTGATCATAGTTACTTAATGTTCATTGATACTTACTGGTCATAGATACTTCCTGTTCAGAGTTACTTACTGGTCACAGATACTTACTGTTCATAGTTACTTACTGGTCATAGATACTTATTATTCAGAGTTACTTACTGCTCATAGATACATACTGCTCATAGATACTTAATGGTTTTAGATACTTACTGGTTATAGATACTTAATGGTCATAGATACTTACTGTTCAGAGTAACTTACTGGTCATAGATACTCACTGTTCAGAGTTACTTACTGGTCATAGATACTCACTGTTCAGAGTTAATTAATGCTAATAGCAACTTTCTAATTATAGATACTTAGTATTCAGAGTTACTAACTGCTCATAGTTACTTCCTGCTTATAGTTAATTTATGATTCCCAACTGGTTCTAACATCCCCGGAACGAAGTGCCTGCTGCCTGCTAGGTCTCATAAATGTGTTGTGTTACAAAAGTTGCAAGTCATTGTTTATTAGTGTTCAATGTTAGTAACTGATCGTACGCAGTTACTGGTTATAGATATTTACTGCTCATAGATATTTAATGGTTATAGATACTTACCGATCATAGTTACTTAATGTTTATTGATACCTTCTGTTCAGAGTTACTTACTGGCCATAGATACTTACTGTTCAGAGTTACTTACTGGTCATAGATAATTACTGATCATAGTTACTTAATGTTCATTGATACTTATTGTTCAGAGTTACTTACTCATAATAGATACTTAATGTTCAGAGTTACTTACTGGCCTAGATACTTACTGATACTTACAGAGTTACTAACTGGTCATAGATACTTATTGATCATAGTTACTTAATGTTCATACTGTTCAGAGTTACTTACTGGTCATAGATACTTACTGCTAGTAGTTAATTACTGATCTTAGTTACTTACTGTTCATAGTAGCTTACTGTTAAAAGATAGTTACTGATCCTCTATATTTAAAACCCGTTTCTCTAACAGTTATATTATATAGTATTCCTATTTTTATAAAACCGAATTAGATAAAATATAAGTTTATCCATATTGCAATTGATAACCACTGTGCGGAAGTGGAAGTTCCGAAAACAAAACACCATTAAGCTCAAGTTGAGCATAAAAAGAACAAAGGCATTGGTGAGGAGAGTTTTGTGGAAGTAAATAGCACAAAGTCCCATAAAGTAAAGTAGGAGAGACTCCGTCATATGCATAAACAATTTAATGCGTTATGCTGGAAACAGTGGGTGTGTGTGTATCTGTGTGTGTGGCATTACAATAAAATTTACACGCTTATTAATTTTTACAAGACCTTAACCGACACTTGAGCCAAACAACCAACAGAGAAGGCATAAAACTAGAGCAAACGATGCTGTCTGTGTGTGTGAATAATACAGGCACACATGTTAAATATAAAAAACAAACAAACAACAAAAAAATACGGCAGCACCTCTTCAAACAAAAATTCAACTTGTTTTTTTCCCCCCCTCTCACCCTTTCACTTATGTGCGTGGGAGTGTGTTGGTTGTAGTGAAAAATAGGAGAAATGCGGCTCTAGTAACTTTGCTCCCAAAAAACTTTTCGGCTGCCATGGGATGGCTGTTAAATATATAAGCCACAATTTTAGCATGCACAAAATATGGCCAAAAAGGAATTTCTATTTTTTATTTTATATATATTTTTTTTTAATATCAAAACTTTTCGACATACCGAGAGCAGGAGCAGCAGCGAGGAGCAGGCAAGGCAGGGAATTCCAGGAAGCAGGAGGCACAAGTAGAGGTCCTTGTGGGATCTCCCTGTCATATGTGCAAATACACTTTTGCATGCCTTCGACACGGTGCAAAAAATTCTTCTTAAAATAGTTGGCAAATTATTCCGAAAAGTTGATTAACACTTTATGGTTTAATGGGTTTAAAATTAAATTAAAATACTAGAGATTTGTACCTTAGTAAATGCATATTTTTATGCATTTTATAAATCCCAAAGCGGATGTGGTCGTACCACCAGTAAGACCGGAAGTGACCTTAACTTTATGATGATGTGGCATAGAAAAATCTTAAAGGTCGAGGGGCTTTTTAATTTGGAGCACATCAAGATGAACCTGAAACTTAAGCATCCCATACTAGAGTATAATTTATCATGAATGTATCACAAAGCACAAAGTAGATTAATCAAATGATCCAGGATACACATACATTCTTTCAAGCCATTATAAACCCATTCTTGCACTGTTTCTCTTAGTTCTATTTATTTATTTATAAGATTTAGGTGTATTTGTTGAGTAATTCAAACACTCTCCTCCGGGTTACCAAGAACTCTGCCGGATCAGATATCAGGAAGGAAAAGTGCAAGCCAAAGGTGTAGGAAATTTCTATGAATAAATGGCAATAGGAAAAGAGCCAACGGAGGCCTGGAAAAATTGTTAGAACTGAGGGGAAAACTCTGGGCAACGTCGACAAATTGCCAGCTTCTTGAAAGTTTTCGCTTGGCCGAAAGGAAAATAGTTTCTGAGGTTTCCGACCCAGTGACGAAAGCTGCGAAAACTCGTCACGCACAGGCACACACACAAATGGAAATTATTGGTGGAAAGTTCTATGAACGAGTGTGTGTGCGTCTTCTTCTTTTTCCAACAAATAATTCGACATCTTAAATTAATTAAAGTTTTTTTGCGAAATGGTAAAAGTTTACTTTTCGTATATTGTCCTTGGAAAATGTAATCGAATTAATGTAAATGGAAAATGAAAATGAAAAATGAAAATGGCAAAATATGAAAAAGAGTTTCAACGTCATGGGCATGTCCCTTGTGGTGTTTCGTAGCTAAAAAGTTTGTTAAGCAACAAATTATATTTTGAGATGACAACAATTGCCTTGCCAAAAGTTATTATAGTTTATTTAAGCCATTTAGAAACTGACCCCATAATCGCTTTAATAACAATGCTGCAAGCTAATGAGTTAGAAAAGCAAATATTTATTGCTTAATAGAACTAATATACGCTGTTTTTTATTATACATATATTTTTAAATAATTTTAAAGTTCTCACCCCAAGAAAAAGTGTTGCTTTGGAGCAACTTTGCCTGCTATCTAGCATCTAACCTGGCCCAACTCTTTCACTTGCTATCTGTACTGTGTGTGTATGTGTGTTTATGGTGCTTCTGTGTCTATCAGCCTGGCATTTTAGCCCCGGCACACGTCCTTCTCCTCCACAGACTTTCCACTTGTCCGCTCATATGTCGGGGAGCTGGGAAAAGTTGAGAATTTAAAGGAATTATAAGTACTCGAGCATCTGACACGTCGGCCGCACTTGAGAGAGTTGCCGGGGACTTGGCAGTTGGCAGTTGTCAAGAGTGCTACGGCCACTCACTATCCATCCAATTCCCAACATCTTCTCCTCATCCTCATCCTCATCCACATCCTCATCCTGCTCTCTAGTCTGGAGGGAAAACCGAGTGACGAATGTCGCCTGAAACTCATATGCACTTCGTCTCCGTTGCCATAGTTTTGGAGGATTTTCATGGCCCAAGGAGGAAACTTGGCAATTACAGTCAAACTTGGCCAAGTTGATATTAATTTGGGGATCTGTCTGATACCACTTTACAAGCGCATATACAATCCCCCTTTTTTTATAGAATAAAAAGGGAGAAAACATTGAACAATTGGTTATTTGGCAAGCAAAGCATTTGCTTTCATTGTTATTTCATGGATACAAATAGATCTTCTGACATTTACTGTAGTGCATATGGCACTTAGGCTCTGGGAAATGTCTGGGATGTGTGTGTGTGTGTGTGTATAAGCCGCTTACGCTGCTCCACGTCCATGTCCCTATTTTCCCCCCATAGTTTTCCCACCCAAAGACCCCCCCTGAGAGTCACGTTCATACATATGTATGTCGTATTGAAAAAGGAAAATAGAAACGAATGTATCGCAGATGATTTCTAATCAAATATATCCAGGGAGAATAGTGTTTGCACTTTTCCCTTGCATTTTCCCCCCTTGCATTTCCCTTTGTGTGCATCTCTCTCTTGCGTCTGGTGCCCGTGTGAGTGATATAAAGTGATAAACATTATGTTCATGTCTCTTGTTTCATTCCATTTGCAGGTATGACGGAGGAAATAACCGGCGATTGGAGTTATTACGTGTTTATATCCCTGACGTTGGTACCCGTCTATTGTGCATTTCGGCTCATTAAATCGCTGGGCTGGCAGCTCTTCGTCAACAACTGAGTAAACATCTGCAGCGACAGCAAGTGCAAAGGGAAACCCGGGCAAAAGGAAAACTCCAAGCTTCAACCGAACGGAAGACGAAGAAGGTGCGTAGTCACTTGAGGTTGCCAGTCAGTCAGTCAGTCAGTCGAGTGTCGATTGTCGAGTGGCAGGCACTGTAAGTTGCAGTTCGGTTAGTGTCGAACCTTTGAAAAAGATTCCTGAGAAAGGAAAAAGGAGACCCAAACAACCATTGAGCCATTTCCAGTTAAATTAATTAATAACTCTTGACTTGACTCTCTAATCAAAATGATTAAATAAATACCCTTCGCGCAAACACAATAATTCGTGGAAAAATATGCTTTTCTCAACGTAGTCTTTGCTTTTTCCTTTACAGAGTTCGTGAATCCACAAATATATATATTTATATATATACATTTATATATATATATGTGTATTTTGTAAAAATGCAATAAACGGGAGGCAAAAGACTAGCGCGATAAACAAGGGTCCAGCAGCTGCCAGGATTCCGTTGCATTGTGTTGGCCACGCCAAGTTGCTGCTGCTGCTGGCTGGCCAAAAAAGGAGCAAACAAAGGCGAGGCGATGCAAAGCAATCAACGTCACAAGCAGGAGCAGCAGCAAGACCATAACCAGTACCAGTACCAGTACCAGAATCAGAACCAAAACCATAACCAGACCAAGAGCAAGACCCAGGAACATAGGGGAGAACACAAGCAAGCCGGAACAGGACCAGGAACAAGACCACCAGGAGGACGAGCACAGCGGTGGCCATAGACGGAGTTATTGTGGTGGCACCACCAAAGCCGCCAACGAATCAGGAGTACCAGCTTTAAGGACAACCCCACAACTACACCCACACCCACACCCACAGCACATCCTCGGCAAACAGGACAAGCCACTACAGCAAAAGCCAAAGCAAAACAACTCCGCTTTGAGGACCTCAAGAAAACCAATTTACATATTTAAGCTTTGGGCAAACGTCGAGCTAGAGGAGAGACCAGGAGAGGCTACGAGCTGGCCGTTAGTAGCCACAGGCTAGGGAATATATCGCCACAGCATCAGCACCAAAATCAAAAACCAGTTAGCCGTTTGCCGAGACACTTTCATACCTTCCAAAATGCGTTTGCCATATCGGAACAAGAAGGTCACCCTGTGGGTGCTCTTTGGCATCATTGTCATCACCATGTTCCTATTCAAATTCACCGAACTGCGGCCCCAGTGCCTCTTCAAGGTGGATGCCGCCAGCGAGCTCAGCTCCCAAATGGTTCGCGTCGAGGTATGTATCCCACCCAAAAAAAGGGAAAAATCGAATATCCAATCTGTTTGTTTGGTCTATGTCCTGACACACATTTACCCATACCCTGGACCATCTTCATCCTTGCCATCTGTAGCCAGAGCACTCAACGCGAGTCTGGATAAAAATATTTAAATTTAATCAAATGTGAAGCAATCAAGGCTTGACAGATTTTTTAGGCCCTTCCATATTTTGTTGATGCTTCGGAAGCATATTAAAATTTATTGAATTTAATCCATAATATTGCTTAGCATACTTAATGTGGTCTAGCTTACACAGTTTGGGAACATCCTTAAGAGATATTTTGGTACATATCTTAGGAAGCAGATGTTTTGAAATAAATATACAGGAGAACTGTAGCTTTTAGAAATTCTTTTTGTTGTATAAATTAGGTAGAAGAGTGACTACGTCAGAGATGGAGGTTTAAATAGATGAAACATATGATTTATAGTTTTAAAATTTAAAAATATTGTAAAGAATTTAGTTAACCTTTTCAGTTTCTTATTCGCTGACCCAAAAACAATACATTTGCTATGATAAATCAAAAGAGAAAAGAAATCATGAAGGTGGAACCTCATAGCAGGATAACTAATTTCATATTGGGTGAGCACAGCTGAAAGTCCTTGCTCCTCCTCCTACATCCCTTACTTCCAGGATTAAACCCTGACCGCACACGCACACAAAACCCAAAGCAAAAGTCATTGAGGGAATTTAACTGGTTATCGGATGACCGAACACTATTTTGTAAACATTAGTCGAGACCAAAATGGTCTCGTTGGAGTTTTGCAGAATGGGGAGCGTGTGGGGTCAGCGTGTCCGAGCGAATGGAATGGAGTGCCGGGCCAGGGGCAGGGGAATCCATTGATTAGCATTGGGAATATCGAAAGCAGCCATAAGCAGCTTAGAATGAGAGGAAATCGAAACTGTGGCCAGAGGAGATGACTCCACACGAAAGACAATGCACCCCAGGGATGGAGAGGAATGGCAGCGGATGTGTGTGTGGAGATAGCCAAATCATGCTCACAGAGCATAAGCAATCTTTGGTTTTACCCATGAATGGGGCTTTAATTCCAATTCCAATCTCTGAACCCTAATTATGGCCAATGAAATTTATTTAAGTGGCCAAAATCCAGGGCAGACAAGAAATTTCTGTGATTTGTTTACTTTTCTTTATCGGAAAACATTTTAATATAGTTGTGATTAGATAAAAAGTCCGACTCACATTTATCGCTGCCCCCAATTAAGTGTGTATGATTTATGAATATCGATCGAGTTTGTTTGAAAAGAGCACTTACCCAGATAAGGTTCTCCCCCATTTATCAGTGAGATTAGTTGGCAGAAAACCTTTATTTCTTTTTTTTTTGTCAGTTTAGTTCCATATGGATAGTTGAATTCTATTTTTAGTAATGCCCATCAACCTGCCGTCGTCTGGAGCGCTCTTACTTTTCATTCGCTTTGACGCTAATGCGCCTGGAGGCGTTAACACCTGCGCTTATTCAACCATCCCAACCTGCCCTATATTCATATTTATGTATCTGTTGTATGTAGCACACCATCACCTTCTACCTTGCGACCCATCATCATTATCATAATCATCACCACGAGCTCAACATACCTTTTGCAACGTTTTTTTCTAATTTAATTTTTTTGTCTCCAACCCCATCTCTCTCTCTCTCTTGCTTTCTCTCTCGGATACGGACACGGACACGGACATGGCTACGGATACCATGGACACGTTCAGAAATACCTCACAGATGACAATCAACGCGTTTATTCATACAACCGTGAGATGCCATTAATATTCATAGGCGGCGTGCCCAGATCAGGGACGACTTTGATGCGCGCCATGCTGGATGCCCATCCCGATGTGCGGTAAGTTCTACTTGGACCATCCTGCCACAGGACACGGTCTCGGTCTCTCCCCCAAAAACTGTAACAGGATAATGCCCCCTCTGGCTCCCTTGCCCCGGTCGGTTACTGTTCGATTTGATTGTCTCCCACAATGCGTTGGGATTGGGTTTGAGATTGGGATTGGTTTTGTGGCGTATGGAATGTACCACTTCCCTTGAGTTGTGGAGAAGTCTATGGGATATCACGGTCGATTTATTGGCCTTCTGAACATAATAGTTTGTGCGAAAGTTGCTCTCAAGTCTTTAATAGGTTTCCTTGTTTAGTTTGCAAGGAATATCAGCAGGAAGAGTTTATTTTTATAGCCCTTACAGTGTATTATATTTTAGTCAGAAGCTTGTAACACGAGAAGGAGTCATTTCCGACCCTATAAATTCTCGATCAGCCTCAAAAGCCGAGTCAATCTAGCCCTCTCGGGGAGAACATACAAATTTTTGTTTTTATTTAACATTTTTTAAACATTGTTAAAATTATCAAAATTTTCAAAAACTTTAATTTGTTTAAAATATTAAACTGAGTATGCAGATTTATTAACCCAATGAAAACTGAAATGGGAAAGCTTTCCGAATTGAAATTAAGGCTTTTTTGGCTTATTAATGCATTTTTTTAACTTCGATTTTTACTAAACAAAAATATCATATAAAAATATCGTTTTCAAGAATCTTTCAGAGGGTATTTTAATTTTAATCAGTGAAGAAGTCATTTCCGACCCTATAAATCATTTAAATTCTTGATCAGCATCAACAGGCGAATCTTTCTAGCCATGTCGGGGGGAAAACAAAATTTTTGCCATTTTTTCAAAAAATTATAAGGGGTTACATCATTAAAATTTGCAAAAATCGACAAAAATTTAAATTTTGTTAAACTTTAAAATTGAGTAAGCAGATTTATTGACCTAATAAAACGAACATGGGAAAGCTTTCCGAATTGAAATTAATGCTTTTTTGACGGAGTTATGCATTTTTTAAAAGTTTGATTTTTGCTAAAAATAAATAACATATACAACAAGAGAGTAAGTTAACTTTCATTCACCGTTTTGAATCTTCTCTATTTTTAACGATCGTTTGTATGGCAGCTATATGATATACTAGTCCGATTTCATAAAATTTTACACAAAATTCTAGATTGATATTTAATGGCTGTATATCAAATTTGATGAAAATCTGTTGAAAACTGGAAAAGTTATAATTAATTATTCTTTAAATTGTCCGATCGTTCCTATGCCAGATATATATATGTATATATATAGTCCACCGATTCGCCATGCTCCGATTTATATACTAGTAAATTATATAGAAGAATAACTCTTTAGTTTCAGTCAAATAGCTTAAATTTGCTCCAATACAAATCTCGCACATCTGTACATATGATTCCCAACTGGTTCTAGCATCCCCGGAACGAAGTGACTGCTGCTTGCTAGGTCTCCGAAATGTGTTGTGTTACAAAAGTTGCAAGTCATTGTTTATTAGTGTTCAAAGTTAGTAACTGATCATACATACTTACTGGTTCTAGATACTTACTGGTTATAGATACTTAATGGTCATAGATACTTGCTGATCATAGTTACTTAATGTTCATTGATACTTACTGGTCATAGATACTTACTGTTCAGAGTTACTTACTGTTCATAGATCTTTACTGATCATAGTTACTTAATGTTCATTGATAGTTAGTGATCATAGTTACTTACTGGTCATAGATACTTACTGTTCAGAGTTACTTACTGTTCAGAGTTATTTACTGGTCATGCATGTTTACTGATCATAGTTACTTAAGGTTCATTAATAGTTACTGATCATAGTTACTTACCAGTCATAGATAATTACTGGTCATAGATACTTACTGTTCAGAGTTACTTATTGATCATAGTTAGTAACGATAGATATCGATTCAAAGTAGAAGAAAGTTTAGAGGTAGAACTTCTCGATAACCCTAGTGATAAATTTGGAAACCTTACTGAAACTTAAAGCTAGATCTGAATCAATCTGCCAAGTAGATTTCACACTTCCCTGGATGTATGTAAATTGAAGCATATTTAAAATAACATTCCAATTTCAAATGATTTCCGTTTTCGGTTCCTGCCATAAAAAGTATATTTCCTTTCGCTCTTACCCAATGTCTCTATGGGATATGGAAAGGGAATATTGTAAATTTTAATGCATTCATTTTTTGGCTGGCTTTTGCCTCCGAGCTCTCGCAGCAACCCCAAACCCCGCCCAACCCAACCACTTTCTTCCCCCAAATATTCGATATATATTTCGTTTTGCCTTTGGCAATTTTAATATGTATATTTTTAGGGGGTCTGCCTTTACTTCCACTCCTTGTCCTTTTTTCCCGTGCGTATCTGTTATGGGAGGTCCTGGTTTTGGTACTGGTCCTGGTCCCTGTTATCTTTTGTACACTCTGTGTATTATAAATTTCTTTAGTTTCCCTTACGCATGAGTAATTAGCCAAGAAATTTAAGCAATCCGTAAATGAGAAATGGACAGAAGGAAGAGCCCAGAGCAAACTCCTTCCTTTCCTTTTGGCACTTATTTTATTAACAATTTGCCTTTTCTTTCGCGATTTTAATCGCTTGGCCTATCCTGTATCCTGTGTCCTGTACATCCCGTATCCTGGGAGCTGGAAGCTGGCTGCCGGCTGCTGGATGTTGGATGTCAGGGTCGCTTTTTCTGATGGCTGCGCACAGCGCAATTTCCGCTGTTTAAAAACCAACTTCTCCTCCTCCCCAAAGGATCCCACCGATTTTAGTTACAGAATAGGTTTTGGGTCCTCTCCATCCATCCGTCGTCCCTTCGTTCCTTCCGTCCTTTGTCCGCCATCGCCAGGACTCTGGAAAGCGTAAAAGTTTCCCGGTCGTATGTATGTAAGTATGTAGAGTAGAGTAGGTCACCGTCACCCACTTCGACCCACTTTTTAGTCCGTCCGCCCCCCTGCCCCCCTTGCTCACCCCGATTATATCTGGTTTAGTATTTGTAGCATTTTGCATTTGGACTTGGCACCAACTAATTGAGTCTGGGGTAAGCCCCGAAACAGCTTTTGTGGGATTCGTATGGAGAGCACAGCGTGCGATCCCACTCCAGATGGAGGTGCGAACAAATGTAATTGGCTGAGGCTAGATAAAGTGGTTATCCCCCGATTAGAGACAGAGCTCCTCCCGGAAGGGGTTGACTTCCTCCCAGTTAGTAAAGCCATGGCACATGGCACATATCATTTGGGAATTGAAAGCACTGGAAAAGTGCTTTTTCTCGAAGAGGGAAATAATTTTCAACACCACTGTGTGTGTGTTTCAAGCTATATTTCTTTAATTAGTAGTGATAACAAGTTATTGCTAAAAGGAAAACATTTTTGTGGAATTTGCTTAAGCATTTAAATTAGTTTTGTGCCGCAACTTTTAATCTAGAACTCATTTTCTTTGAGAGTAAATTAGCTCCTTAAATCACCCTTGATTACACTGACCTCCAGGCTCTTTTTCTCATTTCCAGCAGAGAAATAGTTTGGAGCAGAGCTTTAATTCACTTTGATTACTCTACCTTTAGGGTTCTCGGGTTCTTGGGTTCTCTCTGAGTTTTTCAATTGCCTTTTTTTCCACTGCCGTGTGAGATATTTATGATAATTTACGCAATCAGGCAGTAATTTTTGTGTGTGCTCTGAACTTGATTACGGAGGACGGTGTGTGTGTGTGTGTTTTGCCAGCGGAAAATTCTAGGATGGCAAACGTTAGAATCGTTTGAAGCCCTTCATAGTTCAGTGGCTTCGCTTGTGCAGTTAAAAGTGGAAAATGGTAAAGGGAAAATGGGAGGGAAATCGGAGTGGAGCAGAGTCGAATGAGAGTTATGCACGATGGGGGCGCTCCAGGCGGGTCTCTTGCCATGCTGTATATAGAGTACGGTAACGGGAATGGAAATGGAAATGGAAATGGGAAAGGGAACGGGAACGGGAACGGGAACGGGAACGGGAGCGCTAAAGAGCCAGTGCCGGATGGCATGCCTTTTTTCATTTTGTCGATTGCACTACAGGAGGGATGGCTGCTGGGTGAATAGATGATGTGGCACCACCTGTATCAAAAGAGGATCTTAGATAGAGCTGCTCCTCTATCGTTTCTAATTTCATTTTCCAAAAGAACACCATAATAATGTTATATAAATAATCCTTTGTTTGGTTTTTCCCCCTCCTTAAGCTGCGGTCAGGAAACACGCGTCATTCCACGCATCCTGCAACTACGTTCGCATTGGCTCAAGTCTGAAAAGGAATCGCTACGCCTGCAGGAGGCCGGTATTACCAAGGAGGTCATGAACAGTGCCATTGCACAGTTCTGTCTGGAAATCATCGCCAAGCATGGGGAGCCGGCGCCGCGTTTATGCAACAAGGATCCGCTGACGCTGAAAATGGGTTCCTATGTCATCGAGCTATTTCCGAACGTAAGCACCACTACCCAGCTGCCATCTAACATGCAGTTTTCCCCAAGCACACAGTACACATACACACCAAGAGTACCACCATTACCATCATTCTCATCCTGGGACACATTCTCCCTTTTTATACAGAGAGACCAATGAAGCTTGACAGGTTAAATTTAATACAAAATGTCTCTGTCTTACAGAAATTTGGATTTATTTTGATTATTAACTATGTAAATGGATGAAGATAAAAAGAAAATTCGTTGAAACCTATACAATTTGTAGAGATAAACTATATTTAATTGTATGATATGTGCTATACAGATTTCCCTGGCTTTCTGGCTTGGTTCCAAATAACGTATATAATTTTGACACTTGTTATTATTATCTTTATATAAACATCTTCTCTCGGTGCACTCACTCAACCTCCTCTGATTCTCTTTTTTTTTACAGGCGAAATTCCTATTCATGGTGCGCGACGGTCGGGCGACCGTTCATTCGATTATATCGCGCAAGGTGACAATCACCGGTTTCGATTTGAGCAGCTACCGCCAGTGCATGCAGAAGTGGAACCACGCCATCGAGGTGATGCACGAGCAGTGCCGGGATATTGGCAAGGAGCGTTGCATGATGGTGAGTACATGTCCCTCACACCTCACACCCTAACCCTAACCAGGTTGACCATACCATCCCATTCCGTTGGCTTCAATCAATGGCGATTAACTTGGCCCGCTGGTGCAGGAAATTGAACGAATTAATGCTGGAATATATATGTATCTCTCCATTAGGTGTACTATGAGCAGTTGGTCCTGCATCCGGAAGAATGGATGCGCAAGATATTGAAATACCTGGATGTGCCATGGAATGATGCGGTGTTGCATCACGAGGAGTTCATCAATAAGCCCAATGGAGTGCCACTTTCCAAGTAAGTTCAGTTCAGGCACGAGTGCAGAGAAACCGATTCATATATTTAAATCCAGGGTGGAACGCTCCTCGGACCAAGTGATCAAGCCGGTGAACCTGGAGGCCATGTCCAAATGGGTGGGCCAGATACCGGGCGATGTGGTCCGTGACATGGCCGACATTGCGCCCATGCTGTCCGTGCTCGGTTACGATCCGTACGCGAATCCGCCGGACTATGGTAAGCCAGATGCATGGGTGCAGGACAACACGTCGAAGGTAAGGTGCAACGCGGCCTTCAGAAGGTTTGCCAAAACGCAAAACAAACCGATACACACACACACACACACACACCTTGCTCATCATTGTGTTCTCTAAATTGTAGTATAAATTATATGTAGAACCTCCTTGAGGAGGATATATATTCTTTCCGGATTTGGTTTTCATCCTTTTTTTTCCATTTGTATAACTTTTAGTTTGTATTTTTCATTTTTTGTTCTCTGTGTGTGATGATTTGTGCTTATATTTTTATTTGTTTGTTTTGTGTTTTGCACTTTGCCTTCCTTTTTTCACGTTTGTCGGTTGCACCCAGCGATAACTCTTTATTTTTATTGCTTTTATTTTTCATGTAATGTATGCATTATATATATTGTTATATTTTTTGCAGCAATTTTGATTCATGTGGGCTTTGTTTTTTGGGGAAGCTGCTGCTTATATATGCATATTGAGGGTTACAAATCGAGTTTGAGAAAGTAAACTAAGGAAATATGATTGATTAGATTGAATAAAATATTCAAAAGAAGGATACCAAGTAGATAGGCTTTTCAAAAGCAGAAATAATAATGTTTGGAAGGAGACTACTTTATATATTATTAACTGATGAATTAAGCCACATCCTATCACACTTTCCACTCTGTCTAAATAAATTAACCTGGCAATTCCAGTAAAAACTAATATAACCATTATATGAACTAAACTACAGTTAAAACATTGCCTTAACTATGTATATCTGCTTATCGCAGACTCAGAATCATCTCAAATTTGCATAAAAAAGCAATTAAGTGACTGCATTTGAATTTGCAATTTGAATATATGTATTTATTATGAACCATTAATTATAAGGTATTAATATTCATAGTGTTGTTTTTGGCCAGGGATTTTGCAGAGCGAGTTTATTCTATTGTTGATTTAAGCCACTCAAATATTATGTCTTGCCTGCGGCTAGCCAACAGTCAGTTTTCAGCTAACATTTAATTGAAATTTTCGGTTTGCTTGACCAATATTAGTGAGTCCTTTTTCGTATTCATTTTTGTTTCTTTCTCCTCTCTGTGGCACATCCTTTTGCATCCCTTTTTTTTTTTTTGTCTGTCTGTTTGCAAGTGCATCCTGCTGAGTTATGTCCGGAGCAGCGATGCGTTAAATTAGCTGCTAATTAATTAGTCCACTCCTCGTTACTCCGCGCGACTTGAGTGGAGTAGAGTTGAGTTAACTCAAGTTCAGTTATCTCCACGTTGAATTTCAATTTTTTTTTCATCACCTCCCTGTGTTAATTTTCTTTATTATATTTTTTTCATTATATAATTGTTTTTTTTTTGGTCTTGTTTGCTTTAAGAGGTGTCCCTTAAACTGAAATTGTAGTAGAAGGAAAGAATGTTGTGCAATTCAAGTGAATTTAGTGAATTTATAGGAGAATATCTACTTGATTTTAATTACTTTATACATCTAATTAACCAGTAATTGCTTAAAAACCAACAATTTATATTCAGTTCGGAAATATTCCTTAAATGGACTAAAAAACTTTTTAAAAAATTTTTAGCGCCCAGTAAATAAGAAAAAGATGTTAATTCTTTGTTAATCAACCGAAAACATAGATTAATTTTTCATTGTTTAACAAATAACCTTCAAGTCCTTTCATAGTCAATATTGAAAAGAGTTTTTGTGTCACTTATAAATGTAATATGTTATACAATATTTTAAAGAGTGATGTTCAAGTTCCATTAAACAATTCGCTATAGAATTATTTATTATTAGAATTATTAGAATTCGCTTAATTAAAAGACACTTTGCTCCCATTTAAATAACATTATTTTGTTTAAATTTTTCGATACCTGTATGGAAAGGAAATACAAATTTAATGTATGTACGCTTCGATTCGCTGGCACCTTGGTTTTTGTTTCCATTTCTTTTTATTTTTTATTTTTTGTCGATCATGTCCCGGATTTTTGCGTGTTTTTATTGGCCTGTCACTGGGGCAATTTCTGTTTGACAGTTAAAATTGCAATGTTTCCGCGCTGTTGCCTTGGTGGCAGCCTCCAACCGCCTGTCGAATGGCTCCTGCCCCCTGACAGTGGGCGGTCTGATGTCATAAGTGGCAATTTATACATGCATGCAAGGGGAAAATGTTCGGGCAAAGTTAAGTCAACTTTTCGCAATCCCCGGCAGCGTGACAGGCCACTCCTGTGACACCTACTGACCCCCGGCCAGCCTTAATGGCACAGGACAGTTATCCCATTGCCATTATCCTGCCATCTCCTGCCATCCTTCTTCGTCGGCAATGCCATGGCAATGCAATTAATATCAATTGAAAGTCCGCCAATTTGATTATATTCCTTAATTTATGTTAATGGCAAATATTTTAATTAATTGACGGCTCGGTTGGGGGGGCATTCCACGCTTATCGAGGTGTCCGCAAACATTTAATATTTTAAACATATTTGCATATTTAATATTTATGCAGCAATTTAAAACAAACGAAAAATATGAACGCATAGCGTAGCCATTATACTCTCTGAGTTGCAAGCAAAAAATCATTTTTAATTAATATTTATAGTTGAGAAAAATAAGCGGAAATAAAAACAGGAGCAGATATACCCTTTTTCCTTTTATAAAACAATTTTAAACTTTTTTAACTGCTGTGCAGTTTTAATGTAAATTATGTTAGTCAATTTAATTTCATTACAACAAGGAATAAGCTAACTTCGGTACATCGAAGTTTGTATACCCTGACCTTGCTTATCATAGTTACTTACTGCTCATAGTTACTTCCTGCTTATAGTTACTTCCTGCTTATAGTTAATTTGTGATCATAGTTAATTACTGCTCACAGTTTATTACTGATCATAGTTTTATAAATCGTCCGATCGTTCCTATGGCAGATATATATATGTATATATATAGTTCACCGATTTGCATTGATCCGACTTAAATACTAGTTAAATTATATAGACGAATAACGCCATAGTTTAATTAAAATAGCTTGCTCTTAAATTTGTTCGAAAACAAATCTTGCGTACTTATGATTCCCAACTGGTTCTAACATCCCCGGAACGAAGTGACTTCTGCCGGCCGGGTCTCAGAAATGTGTTGTTACAAAAGTTGCAAGTCATTGTTTATTAGTGTTCAAAGTTAGTAACTGATCATACATACTTACTGGTCATAGATATTTACTGATCATAGTTACTTACTGGTCATAGTTACTTACTGATCCAAGCTACTTAATGTTCATTGATAGTTACTGATCATAGTTACTCACTGGTCATAGATAGTTACTTACTGGTCATAGATACTTGCTGTTCAGAGTTACTTACTGTTGAAAGATAATTACTGATCCTTTAAATTTAACAACCGTTTCTCTGGCAGTTATGCTATATAGTATTCCGATTTTCATAAAACTAAAAACGAAATTCAATAATAATAAAAGATAGCTTTGAATCATTTGCAAAGTTCTGACTGAAATTATAATATCCTGCAAGGGTATAAAAAACTGTATTTAAAACAGAACAAAACCAGGCTCTCGGGTGTTGAAGAATGTTTGGAATTTATGTTTTCCACGCTTTGTAAAGTCACAAAGTTAAACAACAATTTGTTGTGCCCAAAGTTGGCTGCCTCTTTGATAATGTTTATAGCTGGCACATTATGCAGCTGTGCCGGCATCCTGACATATGTGATGGTGGTGGTGGCACAATTAGTTGAATCCGGGTCTGGCATAATTATGCAACCATCAGCAAAGCAGCAGCTAAACCAGCTTCAATTGTGAATTTAAGGGATATTTATGCAAAAATTTTGCTTTGATATTAAATAAACTTAATGGGATTTTCTGAATTTTCCTTACTTTCCATGCAGCTAAAGGCCAATCGCATGTTGTGGGAGAGTAAGGCCAAGCAGGTGCTCCAGATGTCCAGCGAGGATGAGTTCAACAACAATAGTAACAACAATAAAGACGCCAACAATAATCAGTACAATGTCAATAAAATTATGCCAGAACAGCAACAGAAGCAACATCAACCACAACACAGACAGCGGCAACAGCAGCAGCAGCAGCAACATCCACATCATCAGCAACATCAGGAGATTGAAGGGGAAGGGGAAACGGAACCGGAACGAGAACAAGAATTGTTGCATCAAAAGCCAAAGGATGTCATTACGATAAAGCAGCTGCCATTACAGAATGGCAACAGCAACGGCAACGGCAACGGCAACGGCAACAATAACGAGAACAAGAATGGCCCCATGGCGGATACATGATATCCGCACATACCCATAAGACTGCCGCGTGGCAAGCACTGAAGCGAACTGGGAGAGGAGAGTAGACCGCAACCGATAAGGACAAAGGCTAACGATAAGGATAACGATAACACTAACAATTACGATACACGAAAAACCAATTTTGAATTGAATTAGCCGCCGGGATATACATATATAGCCTACGTGTAAATGCTTCTTAAGAGTTACCAAAAAACCAAGTCATCTTCATGGTAAAATGTTTAGCACAGTGCCGACATCATGTTTTGCTGGTATATACACTATATATACAATATATATATGTAAGTATGCCAGTTAAATCACACTCGTCCACTTGATTCCATATTAATTTTATGTATACATTAATATCTCTTAATTATTAAATTAATTGTTCCATCGAATGGTCATTGCAACGCCTATTACCTTAATTATGCTAATCACAGCAGTCTAAGCTAACCCAATGGGGACTTCTCAATAATTTAGTGACATTCAACCCTTTTGTAGAGTTTAATCAGGGAAGGGGGCACTGTGGTCATAACATAATTCTTTTTTAATGTGTAAAATCAATATCTCGGAAAGGAAAGCTAAATGGAAAATAGGACAAGGCAGGCGCTCGATACAAAGCAAACATTTTTTATTTAGTTTAGGTATTTTTGTACGAACGTTTATATACAATACACTGTTTTTTTTTCATATCTCTTATTGTGTACATAAAATATATAAATGTTATCATTTTTACCAAAAACGAAAGAAGGAAACCTTAATTATCGAACGAATCTCGACTCGCTGACTCTATCTATCCAAGGCTAAGGTATGATTAGGAATCTTTATATAGGCTTATATCTGGACATGTAAAATTACAAAGTAAAGCACTGTTTATAGTTTGCAAAATGGCAAAAGCAACACAAGATGACAAAATATTGAAAACGTGTTAAATTTTTAACGAAAGAGCTTTTAAGGTATTTAGTTTAAATAATAATAAATGTATTGTATATGAAATATTTGCTGCTGATGATAGAAAAAAAGACGTGAACTAGAATAGAAAATAAATACTGTGTTGTTTTTTTTATTTTTTTTTATTTGTGTTGCGATAAATTGACTGAATGTAAAAAAAAAAAACAAAATAAATTAACTATAAAGCAAAACGCATATAATAATGATATAAATGTATACCTTAAATTGAATGTCTAAATGTATATGAGAGAGTTGTAATAGATTTTAAATGTATATGCGTAGCGATGTGAAGAGAAGCGAGTTAGCCAAGCTAAAAATCATTATTTTGACTGCTGATTCAATGGAATTTACTTCTAATTAAATGGTTACAGTTAATACTTGATATAAATATTTGATTAAAGTAGATTATATCTACTTACCCTCGTGCGTTGTACGTAATTTCTAAGATATATATTTATAATAGAACCGAATATCTCAAGATGAAGCCTGGCTAGATCACTCTGTCTGGTGATGTCTGGCCCATTCAAACAGTTAGCCATTTAAATTAGAAGTGAATTTTAACGTTTCGTATTTTTAGTAGCGAAGAAAAGGGGACTCCCCCCACACTCCGTCCTAACTGATGTGGGGGCTGGGACTTAGCTATTTCATGTACTTACTTGCCTTTAGCTTCGCACACTTACTTTTATATGTTTAATTTAATGAGAAATGAGAATTGCTGACAATAAATAAGAGAAAAGAAATGAAAAAGTAATGTTTGAAACGGAAAATCATGCTTGCTCGCTAACAGAACAGAGAAAATGTTTATATATAAACGTGTTTTTGTGTAATCGTTGTGCGCATCACAACCATAAAACTATACTGATGTGCACCACATGTTCTCTGAATAGTCAGTCCGTTCAATGAATAGTTTTCTGATTGTGAAACGCATTTAATATGTAAACTATATATATGTATACATCAAATATATATACATATGAATGTGAAAACTATTTTTGCTAGCTTTTAAGATGCCGTCTTTATTTTTATGTTCGTCTAATTTTGAAACGTGTATGTATGTATAACTCTCTAAATAGGTACATATGTATCTATATTGTACATTTTTGTGTATGTGGAATTGCTGCAGCTAGGAAGGTTTTTATTTGTACTTATTAAACGAGAGCCCAAAAAACACCAATGTTGAACTAACGATCTACTTGCAGCTGACAGACAATCAGAGCTCAAAGGAACTATAACTTTAACTATATAAAAACCGCCTCCCTGTGTAAGCCCCCTAAAAGCTACCCACCCGTTATTCCCCTTAACCAATGGAACCATGACTTAGGCAAATGTAATCCACAAAAAATATATAAATAATAATATATATAAACAAATATAACAAAAATGCATTAAAAAAACACTGTACGCTGCAAAGATCCGAAACGAATTAATTTTAATCGCAAGACAAGATTTTTTTGTGTGCATTTCGTAGGCTAAGCCAACTGTACAATATTGTATTGATAATGACATCCCAGCAACAACAGCTAAATATATATATATATATATATATAGATATATAATTATATAATTATATATACTATACAACACAGAAAAAGAATATGATAAAATAAAAAATCAAAATGATGAAACAATAAAAGTTAAACAGAAATAAAAAAAACGACAACTATGCAAAAGAACTTAGTTGAGTTATTGTGTTCTTTCCTTACCTCAAATTCCAGCCTTGAATTTATATAAAAAATAGCTGAAAATACTTACCATTGGCCTTCTTCCCCAATGATGAAATCATGTAGAAACCACAAGCCCCAACCCAAAAGTGAAATCTGAATAGTAAGGATATGTATCCTTTGAAGACCCTTTCGAAACAGACAAACATGCACACAAACAACAGGAATTGTTCATAGATAAGATGCCATAAAACACACTTTAATATCTTGATTGTTTCTTTTGCTTTTTGTTGTTGTTTGTTGTTGGTTTTTGGTGGGTTTTCTTGACTTATTAATTGGTGTTGTTATTTAATGTTTTATTTGAAAGAAATCGTACATTTCTTGGGTTTCAATTCGATAAGTTCAATAGAAAAGAAGTTCAATTTGGTTTTTTTGAATAGCAAGTATTTGTTGTTGATGTTGGGCGAATAAGCTAAGATATCATCATAACTATTTAGTTCATTCTTTTACTTTTATTAAAATGTTTTGGCTTTGGTATTTAAATGTAGTGTTTGTTTTTACGAAAAAGTTGTGAAGGAAAGAGAGAGCTCGCGTGGTGGTTGGGTCCATTGGCCGTTTGGCCATGGCCCACACGGTGGATTGTGGCGGATAGTGGACTGGTCTATTCCTCCTCCTCCTCCTCCTCCTCTTCCTCCTCCTCTTCCTCCTCCTCTTCCTCTTCCTCCTCCTCTTCCTCCTCCTCTTCCTCCTCATCCTCCTCGGCCTCCTCTTCCTCCTCCTCGGCGACCTCCTCCTCGACCTCCTCATCATCCTCAACGATGTCCTCATCGGCCTTGGCATCCTCCTCACCCTCGGGTGTCTCGGGCTCACCGGCCTTCTTGCCTGGTCGCTCGCCGAACCACTTTGGCAGTTTGGCTGTAGTTGGGCAAATAAACATATAATCCATTAGTATTTCAATTCAGAAAAGATTACTCAAAACTCCACGTGAAACGGAAAATTAAAATTAAGAAAAATTATAAAATTAAATCAAAGAACACAGTACGACAATGAACATATTGATTAATGTAGTTCTCGTGTTCCTGAACAAGTCCTCGAATCAGAGCTGATCCCTGCTGTGACTATCTAATCTCTTCTCTACAGTACATACATTTTTGACGGCCGGTGTATTGCTCCTTCTTCTCGTTCCAGATCTTCTCGTTCGAGTCCTTGGAGATCTCATCCCAGCCCTGTGTGTGGGTTTTCAGTATTTGGATCATGTGTGTGTATTTTGTGTGATTTAATGGGTATTGTTATTCGATACGAGACGCGCAGAGCACAGAGCACACAAGACACAAGTACGGTTGACACAATTATGAAAAATAGTTTACATGAGAACATAGAAAGAGATAAGAGAAGAGTAAACGTTAGGTGAGTTATTGCCTGTTCCTTATCGTGTCCTATCGCATGACCCCCAAAAGCTCCTACTCCCTACTCCGGTGACTGTAAACAGTGAACGTGACTGTACTCTCGGTACTTTCGGTACAGTGATTAAATAGAACATAGTTTATGACACAATTAAAAACATAAAATAATAGTGATAATAGGAAAAGCATAAAGACACATGACATGGAGTCCATTCGTTCACCGAAGGACGCTTACATTTTGTGCGCTGAGTGAATCTTTCCTGTCTTTCTTGCCAGGTCTTTTCTAAGGTTTCCGCATAGACCGTATTATAGCCCTATATGTGCACATAATATTGAGATCATTTTTACAAGGAAGCAGCCAAAAGGAACCCATCCCCGCAGGCTGAAAGTTCAGCAAATAGAATTAATATACTCAATACTTACACCCTCGAAGAGCTTCTTCTTGTCGTCGTATGAGCGTGTATCCACACGTCGCTCATATTTGGAGGCGACTTGAATCTTGGGCTGTAAAGGAAGGAATACCGGATGACCGGATGGTTGAGTGTCAAGCATCCTAGGAAGATTGAATTCATTAACTTACCGGGTATTTGCCAGTCAAAGCTTCCGGGTCGAGACCCTTCTTCAAGGCTTTGTGCCTGAGCTGTTGCTTCTGTCTTTCCTTCAGCTCTTTCAACTGTCAGGATTACAAGGATCAGCTGTGGTTTCGATGGAAGGTAAAGGGTCATGGTACTCACATCGTAGTCCTGACGTTTCTGCCTTTCTTCCAAGTCATACTTCTCAGTTTCCAATTTAACGATGAGCTCCCACAGCTCCTGGGCCTTCTCGCGCAGCTTGGCCTCGCCGAATCCTTCGATGGCCAAGGGCTTGATGCGGAACGACAGCGAGATCTTCTTCTCCTCCTCCAATTGTTCCTTAGTCTTGTTGCGTTCCATGGCGGCGGACGAGAGTCCCAACTATGTTTTTGATTTTTAGCAATTTTCGAGATTCGATCGATCGATTGTCGCGCAGGATGTTTTTTTTAATATTTTTGTTTAGTTTTTTTATTTGTTGTTGATTTTGTTTTTAGATGCAGACACATTGCGTTGTGTTTTTCGGTTTTTGGTTTTTGTTTTTTTCAGATTTTTGTGGTACGTGCGGTACAAAAGTGGTGAGAGAGACAAACAGTGAGAGAGAGAGATAGACACACACAGAGAAAAGAGCGCATATGAGCGGACAAAGAAAGTTGCAATTGTTGTTGGTGTTTGTTTGTTTGTTTGTTGGTTTGTTGGTTGTTTATTTGTTTGTTTGGTTGGTTGGTTGGTTGGTGTGTGCGCATGCGTGTTTGTTTATTTGTTTGTTGTGTAAAAGAAAAAGAAAACAGAGAATCGTTTTGTTGTTTCAGTTTCACATTGTAGTGTGAGAGTGTTTTCAAGCGTTTCCAGGCGATCGATAAATGTGTTTTTAATTCATTTCGATTTATGTTCGATTTATGCGGGCACAAACGATTAACAATGATCGATAAGAGAGTTCAAAAACCGAGGATTAACGATTAAATGATTGATGGCAAACGATGAGCGATTTCGAATGATCGTGATTGTTCGATTAATGCCAAACACAGACGATTATCGATTAACGATTAGGAATTGATTAATATCAATGTTGAAAACAAAAGATGTAGTATGGTGTGGATTGCATGTTGTTGTGGGCGAGGTGGACACATGAGGAGTTTATATGGAATCAATAATGAAATCATAAAGTAGAAATGATAACGAAAAAAAAGAACGGAAAAAAGAAAAAAAGGAAGAGAGAGAGACAGATGGTGGGGGGAAACGGAGGCGTATCAGTAGGCTGCATTGATGGAATCTCATATAATTACCACGCCTGCCTCCTTTTTGGCAATGGTGAAGTTGGGTCCCTTCTTGTCCTTGTCCTTCATGGCCTGCAACATGGCCTGACGCTTCTTCTCGGCCTCCTCGAGACGCATGCGCTTCTCCTCGATCTCGCGCTGCTTCTTCTCCTCAGCCTCGCGGACGCGGCGCTCCTCCTCCTCCTTCTTGCGCTGAGCCATCTTCTGCTCCTCCTCGGCACGCGAGATCTTGCGCTTGGCCTGCTTCTCCTTCAGCTTCTTCAGCTCATCCTCCTCCTTGGATCTCTGTTTGCGCCACTCGCTGATGTATTCTTTCAGCTGCTCATCGAGGTCGGAGCGCTTCTGGTCCTGACGCTTGATGAACTCTGGGTCGCCCTCTCCTCTGATGTGGCGGCAAGCAAGGGGATGCAGAAAGAAATCTATTAGTGATTTGTTGAGCTACGATCAAGCATTTAGATAGCTCTCTAGTACTACGCCAAGTAATTTCTAGGCACTACAATTAATTACAGAATTTTGACGGACTTTCTTACGGCCTGTTTCGAGTTCATTATTCATATTATTATTTTCGATTTGATTTTGTTTTTTTGTTTGTTTGTTTTTCCAAAAGTTGTTTATACAATTAGTAGCCATCAAAGTGCTGATGTAAATAAGCATTAGATTCTACATTCTACAAATAGCAATTCTACTCTAGTTGTAAAAAAAAATACAACGGAAACGGAAACTGAAACTGAGGTGTGGTGAGTAAGTTGAGTAAGTACAGAGGTACAGTCTAGACTCTAGTTTGCTTAGATTGAATGTTTAGAATTTGTTTTATTTATTTAATATTGTTTTTGTTTTCGTTTTGGATTACTGATACGAACAGGCGGATTAATTGGGGGACGATACGATCTTAACATAACACTGAGGGTTTAGTCTTGGTTAGCATTCTGGTTTCACTTGTTGTTCACATTTGTTTTTTGTACATAGACTTACTCGGCTGGTGTCTGAGGTGGTTTTCTATACGTGAGGCATTGAGGTGGCAACAAACATGGAGGTGGTGATATTTTTATATATATATATATATCGATCGATTTGGTTTTGTGTTTCAAAAATTGACAAAGTCACGATGGTTTGATTGATTGATTTTTGTTGTGGGTTTCGGTTCGAAAAGTTCATACAAAATGCGATTTGTTTGTTATTTCAGTTTTCAAACAAAAAGAACGTTGGAAAGAAAGAGAAAACATTTGGTTGTTTAAAAAATTCATTTGCAAAATAGATCGGTTTTTGTTTTTTTGTTTTTGTAACGAAATGAAGGAAGAAGATAAAATGGAGAATAGTAACTGATTGGTAAGTACGTATTTGTTGTTTTGTTTTGTTCTTGTTTTCTGGTTTGTTGTTGTTCTAAGGAAAACGCAAAAAGAATGTCAAGTCAGCGAATTTTCCAAGCAACGAGAATTTGTACAGTATGAACTGGAACTGGAAACTGGAAACTGGTACTGGTACTGGTACTGGAACGGTACTGGAGCTGGTACTGGAAACTGGAACTGTTACTCTGATGCATGGACAGATCGAAACAGAGCAAAAATATACACACAAAAAGATTTTGGTCTTGCTTATGTATTTTTTTGTTTTTTTGTTTTTGTTTTTTTTTGTTCGGAAATTGGCAAACGAGCATAGAATTTTTTGGGAAGTGCAAATTTGTGCAAAGAGCAATTTGGAAAGTTCTTCTTTTGGGAAAACTTTGATGCTGATTTTATGGATGGGATATATATTGTTTTCTCAAAACACGATTCAAATACGAATTACGTTCGACTTAATTTTCGGTTTTTGTACAATTTTGGATTCTTTCTTTCTTCTTTTCATTGGTTTCTCACACAATTTACTTACTTCCTGCAATAAGAACGTAGATCAAAAAGAGAGATGGAAGAGAGAAAGAGAGAGATAAACAGAATCGGTATCAATAGTTTCCAAGTCTTAAAACGGCAACAACATTTTGCTAAGCCAGGCCAGCGATAGGCGGAAAGTTAACGTTTTTGTAAACGATATTTGTTTAGAATTTTGGAAATTATTTTATTGCTTCGGAAATGTATTTTCGTTTTTTGGGGGATATATACGGATATACGGGATAAACGGATACACGAGTATATAGATAGATAGACAGATAGACAATAGACAGGTTACGTATACAAAATACACAGTGATATATAGAATGTGGAAAGCTATAGGTTCCGAAAATAGGGAGTTTGGGACTAGGGCTAGGACTGGGACGTTTGATGAGTTGACGAGGTGCTGGGGTACACACATAGCTTTTATATACAAAATTTGCCAATTTTCTTTTCTTTTTTTTTTGCTCAGGGTATATAGTAATGAGACTATGAACTCGCTGCTGTGGTGAATTTTGTGGTTTTACTAGGGGGAATTCAGGTTCGGGTTCCATTAGTAAATTTTGTACAATTATCCGTTACTGATTGCGCATGATCTTGAATTTTGCAATTATGATTCTAATTTGGAATTTGTTGGCTGGTTTTTTTGTTTTAATTTTTCGGTTTTTATAGACACACACAACAACACATTGAAGACAAAAACCAAAAGAAATAACAAAAATGTACAAAAGAAATGATAATAAAATCATAAGTGTAAAATTAATAAATAAAATTGGATTATTTACAGACGAATACACAAAACGGGTTGGTTTCGGGTTTTATGGATGGATTAATTTCTACATAATTAATAAAAGTTTCCTTAATTTTTTGTTGTTTTCGGATAGTTCGATTGATTTGCAAAACATTGACGACATACAACACATATAGAAAATTTTGAATAGACAAAATACAAAACATAAATAGGGGGTGAAGGGGGGGTGTCAAAAAATAAAAAAATATTTATAGTTGGATATGCAAGGGGGATAAATGACAAAAAATATATAGACATAGGTGAACACCAATCGAGTTCTTTATGCTGCTGCACCAAAACCAACGAAAAATGTTGACAAAAATTGGCAACAAAAATGTACTTACGTCTCCTCGCGGGTCTCCTCGACAACCTCCTCCTCCTCGGAGCTGCTTTGGAGTTCGTAATGAAACGGATTTGTTTTTTTGTTTCATTTTGTGGATTGGGTTTTGTTTATCAATAATATATATATTTATTTTTTATTTATGTGTGAGGGTGCAGGGTGCAAAAACACGGACGCACGCGCACACAGTGCAGGGGTGAGATTGTTGAGTTGTTGTTGAATTGTCGTGTGGTTGTTGTTGAATTGTTGTTGATTGATATTATTAGTTGTTGATTTCAAAAGAAACGAAACGACAACATTAGCAGTCGGTCGAACAGAGATCATGGTTTTTGGTGGTGGTGGTGGTGGTGTTGGGTTTTTCACAGTTAGGATCGTGTTTCGGGATTGGAAATGCATGGAAATAGATAAGAAGGAGTACAGATCAAAATAGGTGCCACAAGTACGTGTGCTGTGGATGATGGCCTCAACGTGATGGCAAAAATCATCTTACAAAAAATCATCCTTTGTGGTAGTATCGGTAGTCAAGGGTTCAAAAATAGATCGGATACTCCTCTTGAAGTTAAATAGTTGCACTTTATTAACACGATTTTAGTTATTTCTTTCATTTTCAATACATTTTTATGTTGCCGGTCAGCCACCGCGGCGTATACTTAATATCCTATACGCGACGTATACTTAATATTTGAGTTACGTATCCCTTGTCGAATCGTTAATACTTACGTGTACTCTTCATCGTCGGACATGATTACGGTTTAGGGTTGAAAAAACCTGCAAAAATAAAATACGAGAAGAGAAATATTAAATTAGTAAGTTTTTAAATGTAATCTAAGCATTGCTTAATATTTCTTTAGCATATTTGCCAGCAGGTGTGAACAATGAAATAATTATCTCGAACAGAATTATTCTAATCCGTAGTTTAATATAGCTTTTCAATAAGATTGACATCCTTTATAATTTCCTTAACATTCCTGTTTATTTATTTAAATGAAACAATAGCTTTAGCCGAAAAGATAAACTATTTGAATGATAATTGATCATTTACTTATTGTTGATTTACGGAATATGGATTTATAATTATAAAAAGTTAGGTATCCATTTGGCTAATTAACAAATTTTTTTTTTAATCTCGTACTATTATTTAATTTAAAATATCAAAGTAATCTTACGGACCGGCAGCAACAACGTTCAAAAGGATCTAAATCCTGCAGACTTTGAAAAAAAAATGTTCCAAGGTAATCGTTCACGGTTTCACTGTACCTTCAGTGACTGCCCAGCCAGAAACAACATTTGTTGTGAGCTTTTTCTCCTCTGATTGCCTTGATAGTACTCTATATTTAGACGAATATGTCCCCTCTAAATAAGATATATACATCGGGCATCGGATCGGCCATGTCATAAGACATACATATACGATATGTATCCCGTTCTCTATGTAGGCAGAGAGAGAGAAAGTCTTTTTTAGCCGGCAACAATGTGTTGTCTTGTCTTGTCCTCACATCATAATCTTCCACAATAAAATCAACAACAAATTCCTTTAGCTCTAAAATTATTTAATTTTTTCTGCCTATCTATATACTTGTGTGCGAGGGAGACAGTAATGGTCTGATCTATGTATATCGGTGTTTAAGTGTTGTTTTTTTTTTTTTTTTTTTTTGCTCCGATTTTTCCGAATGCGTTTGGGATTAAAAATAGCCTTTGGGGCACGGGCACGTATTGAATTTCCCTTTTGGCCGAAAGCTACTACCACAGAAAGCGCCCAAAAAGCTTAAGAAGCTTCGGTTCTTTTCGAGTAAATTTTGAAAATTGTTGTATTTTTTGTTATTGTTGTTTTTACCTTGGCACTAAATCAGAAAGTCAAATACCGTTTGCAGATCCCCACCCTATATATACTATATATGATTTATATATATATATATATAAAAAGAAGTGAAAAATTATTAGGCATGACATTTGTATACTAAGGAAAGTTTTCTTCTCCGCAGAATTCCATATTTCTGATGCATTTTTCTGAATTTTTCTGCATCTTTTGGGACCTATTTTTAGCTCTAGACAAACTGGGTCATTTTGGGAAATAGCGAGAATGCATGACTGAGATTTTCCCGACCCAATCGAATGGAACTATAATATAGAATATGAAATGTTTAATTCATAATCGAAAAATGGTCAGCGGAAATGTTTTCTGTCTAATTTACTGATCAAAAAACTAATGAAGAATAATATAATAAAATATATATTTACTCTACATTTTTAGTTCTTTAAGGAATGAGAATTCCTATTATTTAACTATTACTTCTTCTTTTTTGTTTCCCCTTTAAACTTGAGGTTTTCAAGTTCATCATCCAGAACCATGGTATTTTTTGGATAGATCTCAGGGGAAAAGGCTATCATTGAATGACGTTATAATTTTCTAAATTTGTCTAAACTTTATGGTCTATACCTATTTTCCTCATTCAAAGCTTTTCCATTTATATATATCCGTATAATGGATTTATTCCAAAAGTCTCCAGATCTGCGGGGGTGTCTCTTTGGGGTTCTATATATCTCTAGCATCTGAGTCTATAGCGCCTGCGCCTTGTGTTTTCGGCTATTTGTATCTGAATCTGTATCTGTTAATGTATTTGTATCTTTAGCTGTATTTTTCTATTGGCAGCGTTCTGTATTTCTGTGTGTGTCTTGGATATTTTGCCAAGGTAAAATCACACACAGACATGAAACGCAAACGAATTTATTTTTACAATTCAAAGGAAAAACAAAAAAAAAATAGTAACTGAAAAACGAAATTTTGAGAATTTTCCTCTCAGATCATATAACACTTTCGGTTCGAATCGAATCGAGTCCGAGTTGGATTGGATCGTTTAGATATATATGTGTATTGTATATATTCCTGTCTGGCAGTTGTGGCTTTTGGATTTTGTTGCTTTTATTGTTGCTGCTGATCCTTTTTCGTTGTAGTTGCTGTTGTATCTTTTGTTGCTGTTGTTGGGAAAATGCCTGGGAGCATTTTCATTTATTTTTAGATAACAAAAAAAATTGAAAAAAAAAATAGATAGATAGTACTTTGACAAAAAATATGCTTGAAATTGTTTTCTTTTAGAGTTTCAATTAGTTTTAGAGTTTTTTTCAGTTAATTTTTCACTTAGTTTCGTTTCGTTGGTTGTTTTGCACTTTAAAAAAATATTGAAAAAAAAGGTATGTTATATAAGACAACGTCTTTGATATTTGTTGCTTTAGTTTTTAGTTCTCTTTGGATTTAGTTCCTTTTTTTCATTTATGCTTTCGAAGGACAACAGTGTACACCTCCAAAGGATTCGTTTGATTGTTCATTCGAGTTGAATTTTTTTGCGGTTTAAACTTTTTTGTTATTCACACTATTTTGTTTCGTTTATTCAATTCTTGTTTCTTTTAAAGATGATGCAGAAGATTTTGGGAGGAGGTGAAGCAGCAGTAGAGCAGAGTAGGAACAGAAAAAAAAAACTTACTTAGGGAGAAAGAAACAAATTGAAATCTCAACTAAAGTCCGAGCAGCTGACGTCGTAGGAGCGAATGCTGCGGTTCGACTAAACAGACTGACGATCTGAGGCGCTGCTACACGTTATGTTAAAGAATTTTTCGTGGCGTTCGCGGAAAAGCCTCGCATCCCCCTCCACACACGCACACACACACTCACACACCCAATGGATATGGCCGATCTGGCCGATCTAGCCGACTTTGTCTATATAAAAGAGCATTCACAGCGAATAAGGATGGGTGCGAACGGGCCAGGCATATGCCAGTCGATGTGGCAACAAGTGGGTGTGGGTGTGGGTGGGTGTGCTCAGTGTATGTGTGTGTGTGTGCTGGGTGTTGGGAAAATCGTTCTCAGGTGAAACATAAACTTGTGCTCCCACACACACACACCACAGTTGGATGCGTGTTCCATATCCCCGGCCAGGGATCTCCAAGTGGTCAGAGCGAGAAGGCGACCCCTTCCTCTCCATATACATGTGTGGCACATAGCACATAGCACATAGCACATAGCACATAGCACATAGCACATAGCATATAGTATATGGCCGGAGATCATAAGTAAATAGGCACACATTTGTTTTTGGAATCAAATATCGTAGAACATAAATTTCACAGCCATTAAGAGAATCGAGCTGCATATATCTGGACCATGTACATGGGCATCAAAAATAAATATATATCTGTATATTTCTAACGCCCCACCGGATGGATAGTTGCAATATTTGAACCCCAGAGTGCACGCCCTACAACTCTCCGATATGTATTAACATATAGTGTGTATATTTGCTTAAATATATATGTATATATAGATATGATCATCCTATAGATCTGCGGATCGTGCTGACGTCGAACGGCCTTTGGTGCCCCATCGCATTGCCATTTGTCTAACACTTGAATCTATTCGTCACTGGTCTGATTTTCTTTTTTTATTCTCTTCTATTCTTGTTGTTATTTTCCAATTTTCTATTGTAGCGGATACTTTCGCCAAATACTTTTATATATGCATCTAGACACCCTGTGTCACCTTTCTTTGGCTTTCGATTTGTGATTTGAATTCAAATATAATTAAAAGTAATTCAAACATTAGTAATTGTGTTTAATATATTTAAGAATCTTTCAAAAATATATTTTTTGGGTTAGTTGTGGTAAGTTTCGTCAATCCCTAACCAGGATAGGGCAGGATTGCAATGAGTTCTTTATTATTTATAAGGAATATAGAGAGGGTATTATGGCACTATTCAGTGAAGGAGTCATTTCCGACCCTACAAATCTTGATCAGCACTTACAGGCGAATCTTTCTAGCCATGTCGGGAGGAAAACTTAATTTTTTCCATTTAAAAACAAAAAATGAGGGGTTACATCATTAAAATTTACAAAAATTGTGATTTTCTTAAAATGTTATTTCGAGTATGCAGATTTATTAACCTTAAAAGAACTAACACAGAAGTGGTTTCCGAATTGAAATTAATGCATTTTTGACGTAGTTATGCAATATGTAAACATTGACTTTCGCCAAAAAAATAGCATATTAAATCTTTAAAGGGTTGCATCGTAACATTTTCAATAATCTAAAAAACACTTTTATTTTTACAAATATTATCTTTGCGGTATTCAGATTTATTAAGCTTAAAAAACCTAATCCAGCTTTTCGAATTGAAATTAATGCATTTTTCACTTAGTTATGCAATTAGTAAACTTTGATTGTCCCAAAAAAAGATTTCAAAATGTATGAAATAAAAATGTCAATTTCAAGAATCTTGCTAAGGAAAATATAATTTTAATCAGTGAAGGAGTCATTTCCGACCCTACAAATCATATATATTCGTTATCAGCATTAACAGGCAAATCTTTCTAGCCATGTTGGGAGAAAAACTAAATTTTTGCAATTTTTGCAATTTTTTCAAAAAAAGATAAGGGGTTACATCGTTAAAATTTGCAAAAATTGACAAAAAATTTAATTTTGTACAATATTAATTTTAGTATGCAGATTTATTAACCTAATAAAAACTAGCACAGAAAAGTTTTCCGAATTGAAATTAATGCATTTTTGACTTAGTTATGCATTTTTTAAACTTTATTTGTCAAACAAATTATCATATAAAAATATCTATAAATTTTAGGTTTTCTTGAGGGTGTGTCACAGATTTGTTGTTAAATTTAAAAATTTTTTTATAACATATCTTTTAAGTTTAGTGCTATATCTTGCTCAGTTTCATTGAAACAATTTCTTCAATTAGCTTCAATATTTGAGCTTGCTTAGTACTTGGTTTTTTCATATATTTAAGCCGACTTTTACATATATATTTTTTAGTATACATATATTATATAGTAGCAGACTTTTAAAATTACCATCTAGTTGGAAAGTTTCGCATTTGTTTTGATTTCGTTTTGGGCTGCCGCCCGAATCTGCGGCAGTCTCTTAAATTTAGAACATTTTTGTATCTGCACCGATGCAAATACGTATATATAATATATATGTATATATAAATATATATATATTCCGAGGGAAATCTGTGTCTTTGGCTGTATCCGTTGGATACGGGTAGTCCGGTGCAGTCTGGCTATTACGGATTGCTTGCCAAGATTGCAGCAGATTGCAGCATGGCAATGGTGCTCAGGTGAGCAGGATGTAGAACCCCAAGAGGTGATCCCGGATCCAGATTCCCCTGGTCTCGAAGCCACCATCTGGCACACATGGGTTCACATAAACAACTTTGAACTTATGGCATACATCGGCCCCGATATCTGCACAATATAATGTATGTAAGTACCACCATATCCCTGACACAGACGTGGGTGTATGTATGTTTATTCATATGTTACATTCATTAGGAATCGGTGGGTATTCCTTCAACTAAATTTCAATTCGCATCATCTTCGGAATCAGGGAATAACAAATAGCACAGTTTCGGATTTTTGTTGTTCTATTTTTGGGAGATTTGTGTGGGCGCCTTAGTCTGTAGCCTTCGGTTTTTAGTGGCGATCGCATGCACGAAGTCCGCCACCGATATAAATATATACATATATATTAAAGTATGCGCATATATATATGTACGTATTTGTTTAAATATCTTTAATGTGTCTATCTATAGGTTAGCTTTCTGGGGCGTCGATGTTTACGGGCAACTGTCGGTAATAATCTGCATAGATCGGGAGGATAACATAAACAATATCCGAGAAGCTGGATATCTGGAAAAATATTTAAATTTATCTAAATTGGGATCAAGAAATAATGAATTGAAATGTGGATAGAATTAGTTTATTGATATCTGCTCATTAAAACTCATTAAAATGGTCACATATTCTTATGCCATACCTTATTCCGTGTCCTTTGTAAAAGCTAACATAATCTTTTTTTATTTCAATAAACAATATCATTAAGTAGCTTTCCATATTAATCATTATATTGTATATATAAATACAAATTAATCGTATTTAAATGCATTTTAAATATATCTGTTTTGATATATTATTTCAAGCTTTTTAAATATCCCAGTACTTGTGGACTTCAATTCACCATTATCTTAACCCCGGCCTTAATTTACATTTGAAATCAATTATTCAGTATTGTCAAAGATATATATGTATATATATGCTCCATAAGATTTTAATGAATAAGGTTGAATCAGCCAGGCAAACATTTTTCTGTAAAGAACAAACAACTCGGGGTGTGCCAATTTTAGATTCTATATATTCGATGTTCGATTTAAAAATAAGAAAGTAAGCAAACCAAATTAAATGAAATGAAAACGAACCAAAAAAAAAGGAATAACAAGAAGAAAAAAGAAACAACGGAAAAATCCATAGAAAAACCTCTAGAAGAAAATCTGAAAATGTGAAAACGTTTAAGAAAGACATCATTATACAGAGGCAGTTTATATAGCATTTATTTTGTGTCTACTTTATGTATAGTGTTACACGTTTATTTTCAGATGTTGTTTTTCTCCTCTTGACATTTTCAAACCACTCTATAAAATTGTAAAATAATAGGAACAATCATAGATAGATTATGAATAGAGAATAAATTAAAAGGAATTTTAGATTAAAGTTTACAAAAATGAACTAAAATTGATTTTTTAAATCAGTTTACACAACCAATAATCTAATTTAATAAAACAAAAAGAGCTTAATACTAAAATAAATACTTTGATGGCCAAGTAATGAGTATTGTAAAGTTTAATGTGTCAACGTACTTATTATAAAACAAATAGTATCCTAACATCGGGATAACGAAATTTGTATACTTCTAATAGAATTTTAAATGGATCGTAACTTTGCCAAAAAATCAATAACTTCAATTCAGAAAGCTGTTCTGTACTAGTTTTTATACGGCTAACAAATGTGCAGATTGTGCACTTAATTGAAAAATTTAAAACATTCCAATTTTTGTCAATTTTTAAAAATTAATTACTATCTTTTTTGAAAAAATTAGGAAATATTTTTTTCTAGTTGCCATGTCAGATCGATCCGTCTGTTCACGCTAAACAAGAATATATATGATTTATGGGGTCGGAAATGGCTCTTTCACTGTGTAGGCCAACTTCTGGATATTATAATACCCTGCAAGGGTATTAAATATATAGCTTTAAAATGAGGAAATTCGATTTAAATAAAAACTCAGTAATTTGTTTATTTGAGACAATTTTAGTTTACAAAAAATAACACTGTAAAATTCATTTGATATAAAACTAATCAGCATGTCTTGATTTTCCCGCGGCATTCAAAAAATGAAATATAATCGAAAGCTTACTTAGTTGCCAGCGCCGTAGCTGGTCACACTGTAAACCGGTATTTATAATCTATGGTTAAGCAAATAATCGATTAATTAATACCGGGGGCTCAGCTGTTCTGCAGAGCCATTCCGTTCTGGTATTTTTTATATGTTGGTTTTTTCTACCTGCTTTGCATTTGGTCACACCGCCCCACCCACACACACACACGCACATAGCAAGTTCTTTCGACCGCAGAACCAATTGAATTCTTAAATTTGCTGAGTTGTTGATAACTTCGATTGTGGTGTGAATATTATGAACCTTGGCGGTGGACGGGGCTAATCGATTGACACATTGTCGTCCGGATCCCAGCAACCACAGCAGTCAGTGTTAGTCGCACGCCGGGAAAAGTGCCACGAGACGAGAGAGAGATCGGGGAAAATAGGCGAAAACCTTTGGAATCCGGGGGAAATGGGCTCCACCGGCGGGGATGTTAAATCAATACTGGTACTCGCCGTAATGGTCGCGCTCCTGGCCGCTCCACTGTCGGTGCTGGCGCGGAAGCACCACCTGGAAGTGCGCGTAAGTACAGTTCTTCCTTCTCCCATGGCCCGGAGCACCTGACTCACACTGTTTCCTCAACTTCCGCAGAATGACAGGCGTCCATACATTGCACTAAGTACCTTCGGGTTCTACACCAACGGTCATCTGGACGTGCAGCTCAGCAAGCTGACGATCGATGAGGAGCAGCCCACGGATTTGGTAAGGAAAACCTTATCGAAACCCACAATGTGCAGCCATTCCAATTGTGTGTCTCCTACTAGTTGGGCCTGTCGCTGGACAAGACCACCATTGATCAGCTGAATCCGTATCTGGACTCGCACCAGACCAAGTGCATTTTAGAGGAACCGCCTAAGCTGCAGACCAGTGGACCCATACTCTTCTTCGTTCTGGATCTCAAGGAGTTGAAGTATGAGCGCCCTGCCTGTGTTCCTATACCCGCTTATTTCTCGCCTTCTCTCCTCTAGAGTCAATGTGAAATGCTCGCCTGAATGGGCCAACATGCACATCTACAAGGACATTACCGCCCGTACCAAGCGAAACTCTCGCCTCGGAAAGGTCAGTGATTCGGTACTGTTCCGCCAAGCGCGTGATGTGCCGCCCTACCTGGGAGATGAACCCGATGACTCCATGGAGGATCCCCCGGAGCAGGAGCCACCGGCAGAGTTGAAGCTATCCTCGCCAGCGGTGGCTGGTAAAATTGAGTTGCCCAAGGACGAGATTGTAGCCCAAAAAGAGGATTCCGCTGCTAAGAAGCTTCCTGTTTCCAAGCCAGTAGTTCCTGTTCAGCCACAAGCTGTCGCTAGTCAGGAAAGTGATACTGTTCAGCAGGATGTTGGTCTTAAAGTAGCCGAAGTTGCCCCCAAACCGGTGGAACCCATCAAGGTCACGCCCGAAACTAAACCGGAGAAGCCTCTGACCAAAAAGAGGACTCAGTAGTAGCCAAACCAGGATCAGCTAAAGAAGAAGTCATAAATGCGCCTAAAGTGGCAGCACCTCCTGCCGCTGTCGCTGCTCCTGTTTCTGTTCCTGTCGCCGCCAAGAAAGACGAAGTCGACGATTCGGATGCTGCCCCAGATCAAGGCGTGAATAACTTTTTGCCTCACGAATCGGATGCAGAAGACGATTTATACGCAGTCGGCTCGTTCAAGCAATCGCAGGAGGACCTGTGCAAGGACTCGACAATGCCGCTGATCAGGGAAACGGATGCCAACGGGGTCAACTACTACAGCTTCAACTTTTCTATGCTGGTGGCCACCTTGCGTGACGAAGGCCTCTACAATCTGTACTTCCATGCCTGCCCCAACTACCATAGCCACAGCAAGGTTATGTCCTTCAATGTGAGTAGACGATAACACGATAAGAGAAGCCAAAAATATTAAATATGTTTCCCAGCCGGTCATGCAATAGCTAGGGGCTTAGAGAGACTTTAAATAATATCGGCGCTTATCCCTGTTTATATATCCGTTATTTTCCTCTTTGAAATTAATCATAAATTCTATAATGACTTGTATCTAAACCCATGAAGCGCCTTGAGACACTTAATATTATTCCATTATTTTGAAAAGTGGCATTAGAGGGTTAATGATTTTGGTTCCCTGTTTTCTTGCTGTCTCTATCTCGCTTTTATTCAATGCAGCGTTAAATGTGTTGGATACCAAGTAGCAGTACATTGAAATGAATAGAATCTTTTATTAAATTTTGCTAAAGAGGATATATACATACATATACACCCTAAACTATTATTATAAAGGGTATAGGCTGATAATGTTGTTTTTAACACTTTTTATATCCTTGTTATTATAATTTTGGTCAGAAGCTTGTAACGTTGTGAAGGAATCGCTTCCGACGATATAAATCATATATATTCTTGATCAGCATGAACAGGGGTATCGATCTGATATGGCAGATAGAAAAAAAATATTTTTCCAATTTTTTTTTAAGATAAGGGGTGACATCGTTAAAATTTTAAAAAATTAAATTTTTTAAAACTTTAAATTGAGTATGCATATTTGTTAACATAATAAAAACTAGCATAGGCCAGGTTTTCGAATTGAAATTAATGGTTTCTTAACTTAATTATGCTTTTTTTTAACTTTGATTTGTCAATATAAAAATAATTTCGCACCCTCATTTCAGGTGGACATAGAAGAGAACAATAATGGCAATTACCTGTCTGCTGGAGAGATGCCGCTGCCCGCTCTATATTTTATGATGAGCCTGCTCTTTTTCCTTTCCGGTCTCTTCTGGGTTTTTATCCTGAAGAAGAGCAAGTGAGTTTTGAAGAAGAAAATTTTCAATTTTCTTATTAAATATTGATGTTGTTTGCTTTCCCATGATAGGCACACGGTATACAAAATCCACTACCTGATGGCCGTGTTGGTATTCCTTAAGTCGCTCTCTCTGATGTTCCACTCGATCAACTATCATTTCATTGAGAAGCGGGGCGAGCATGTGGAAACCTGGGCCATCCTTTACTATATTGCTCATCTGCTAAAGGGCGCAGTACTCTTTATCACCATTGTTCTGATTGGAACCGGTTGGACATTTATTAAGCACATTCTGTCCGACAAGGACAAGAAGATCTTCATGATTGTCATCCCGTTGCAGGTGGGTTTCATGTATAAATTCTTACATATATTCTGAGACTGAATTCGCAATCTTTAATTTTTTAGGTTCTGGCCAACGTAGCTCAGATCATTACCGACGAATCGGATCAGAGCGACGCCGAGTTCCGCACCTGGCACAATATCTTCTTCTTCGTGGATCTGCTGTGCTGTGGAGCCATCCTGTTCCCGATTGTGTGGTCCATTCGGCATCTCCACGAGGCATCTGCTTCGGACGGCAAAGCAGCGATCAATCTGCGGAAGCTTAAGCTTTTCCGACAGTTCTACATCATGATCGTGTGCTACATCTATTTCACGCGAATCATCGTCGACCTACTCCAGATGACGGTGGTGTTTCAGTACGCCTGGCTGGACGAGATGTTCCGTGAGATGGCCACCTATGTGTTTTTCGTACTCACGGGCTACAAATTCAGACCGGTGTCCTCGCATCCATACTTCGAGGTGCCCGACGAAGACGATGACGAGGTGGAGGTCCTCACCGGATCGGGCCTGACGGAATCTCTGCATCGCGTTAAGCCGGTGAATCGGAATCACCATGGCAGCAGTTCCGGTGGCATCACCATCATCGAGGGCAACGACGAAGAGCGTGAAAATCTGATTGCGAAGCGAGAATCGAGTCACGAGTACGATTAGACATCGCACACGATGTACACCATACATATTCCCCGTAATTCCCCCATTAGTATGTAGTCTGTAGCGATTCCCGGGGTCGGGATATATATGCGGAGCCATCAGCTAGTACTTTGTCCTTTACTTTACCTTACTTACCTTTGTTCTTAGAGTATCTTAACAAAGAAAAACGAAAAGAAAAAACAATGGCAGCGGAGGGGATTATCTCAGTATGTCAACTTGGACACCATCACATCCTCCTCCTCCATGTTGTGCCCGTCCAGCCGCCAGCCAATAAATACACTTGTAAATAAATTTGTAACGTGCCCGCTGCTATAAACGATGCCCCTTCCTTGTTTTAAGATATATAATTATAAATAAATACATTTATGTAATTACGTATAATTTTATGAATATAACAAAGCTTTAATATGTAAAGTCAAGATTTATATTTTCCTTTAAACATATAAGACTACATGTACTGAGTGCTAAATTTAGGTATAAACTGAATTGTATAGATCATATAGGTGCCCACCGAGCAGGCAATCTGGAAGGAGAAAAGATATACAGTGTGCTAAATGGAAACTGATCTAGATGTACGCACCCTTGTAAGCAGACTGCAGTCCATTATGGTCAGACCCAGACAATCGATTCGGACGGGCTGGTGCAGAAGTTGCAGCGAAAAGTTCTGGATCTGGAGCAAGAAAAGCATAGTTATTATTGGATAATAACTACCAGTTGTCGCACGTCGGACCTGAAGGGAGAGATCCGGGGAGCTGCAGCAGCCGGAATCAGTGACTATACTATGCAGCTGGTGGGCAATCCTCGGCACAATCACCATGCAGCTCTGCGAGGCGTAGATGAAGGCAGGAATCTCCAGCAAAGCGGGTAGGATTAAGTAGTAATCTTTTATGGAAAATCCAAAACACTGTCAAAGGTAATTTACAATTAGATTTGATATAACACTCACCTATATTTGCTATGTTATTATAGATGGTGTAATACATGAAGTAGCAATCGACGGCGATGCGGATGTTAATTGTGAGCAAAACGGCAAGGATAGAGAAGTTGAAGGCTTCCTGGAAACACCGGAACATATCGTACACATCGCTGTAGATGCGCTGCTTCTGCACCAGACTGCGGCGCAGGAAAGCCTCAAAGCCGGGAAAACTGCGGCCAGTTTCGCAGGCAAACTTTGAGTACTGCGCCAGCAAGACCATCTCCCGCTCCAAGTGGGCCAGTTGCTGCCTCAGCAGTTCCATGTGGAGTACAAACTGGACATTCCTCATGTAAGTAAGAAAAACCAACGGCTCATAGGTCATCCAAAACAGGGCCATGTGGCGAGTCAGCGGCTGGACCTGCCACAGACTCAAGTGCAGACCCAGTTCGATCAGGATCATCCCATACAGACAGATCAAGTAGCGACGGTACTGCTGCATTTCGCTTTTCAGACTAACCACTCCCACTCTTTGACTCAGTTTCGCGTGGAGACACCAGAAGCCGGTCAGGTGTCGCTGACTGGTTAGGGTTTCCAGGTAAATGGCCACCACAGCCACTTCGGCAAAAAAGTACTTCAATGCATCGTTGACGCAACCAAACATGTCTCCCCGGAAAAGGAACTCATCGCTACTGCTTAGGCAAAACACAATCAAAGCACTCAAGGACACCAGTATGAACAGACTCCATGCCCGCAATCGTGTCCTGGGCCGGTCCGGGCTCTTATCGCCTGGTAGTGAAATACCATGGAAGCCCAGCAGCTGGTAGAGACGCAGATGGAACTGCAGAACCTGACCCAAGCGGCCGCTCATCGTGTACTGCCAGCTAAAGAACCGAAGCTAGTCTATCCTTATCCTTGGGTGAGATCTCCACCGAATATGACACCGCGAAACGGGTTCGGGTCATCCAATTCCATTAAACTAAGTGACTTCCTCGACAAATCATCGGTTTTTTAAGCTCTGGTCAGGTGAAAACAGGGTGAGAATTTCTTTAACAAATGAGAAGCGCCCTCGCTTAACCTTCGGTTAATAAACTTACGATAGAGAAAGCTAGTAACATGAACTAAATATTCAAGCAAGCATGCAAAATATTCAAATACAAAATAGACTAAACCAGATATGTCACTATATACTTACTAATACACCTTTTAATGTTGAAATTGTTTAGGATTTTTTGCAATGAGAGCTTTTATAGCCTGATAAGAACATAGCAAGATTGAATTCTCTAATTTATCATTTATATACTTACTACTTAAAATCTGATTAGCTTGAATTACCAACTCAAGGTCAAACATTTTAACAGCCAATATTCTATTAATGAAGGTTAACTGAGCAATCCATTAAATGTAAAATTTCAGGGGCAGAAATTGGTATGCAAATAGTGAAAAGTTGAATATTGATTTATTGATATACTTCATCTAAAAACAATTCAGGTCATAGGAACGAATTCATTTCAGTGTGAGGTGTTTATTCATATTATTCGGTCTTGGGACTGATTGGATCAACTTACGGAACTACAAAAAAACACTAAATAAATAGATCTTAGATTAGGCGAGGTGCTGCTCACAACCTACAGATAGGGCCCGTGGAACTGATACCCACTAGATCCATAGCCCTGGACATGTCCTACATTATAGCTGTCCACGCCGCTGTAGGTATCTGCAGCACTGCCGCCGCCGAATCCCGTGGACTCCGGCCAGTCCACGAGAGGCGGACGACGTCGTCGCGTGGCTAGGGATAGCGGCGGTGCTCCGTACGTGTCCGCCGGCTGCTCCTCATCCCCATATGGATCGCTGCTTGGCACCTGTACGGAGGGACGGAAGTCGCTGCTACTGCCACCCGCTCCAGCTGGTCTGGAATAGTCGTATCCGTAGTTGGCGGCTTCATCGGGTGCTTCCAGGGTATAAGCTGGAGCTCTGTTCGCCTTGGAGCTGCGATGGGCGTGACTATGGTTTGGCGGAATATAGGCATGGCTGGGAGGTGAGTAGTGGTAGCCATGATCTGGCTCCTGCTCCACATGCTCCTCGACGGGCGCCGGTTCCGCATAAGCACCGATTCCATGGAGATGACCATGGTGATGTGTCTTCGTCGCTGAATAGTGATAGCCCACATCCTCGTCCTCCTCGTCGGTGTGGTGATGATGATGCTGCTGCTGCTGCTTGGGACGCGACTCAATCACCCGATAGGTGTCCACACTGTGCTCCTGGTGATCCTCGTAGTCATAGCCGTGCGGCCTGTGCTGCTCCTCAATGATGGTATACGTATTTACCTTCTTCTTGGGCGGCACCGGAGCCGGAGGAGGAGCCTTCTTGGCATATGTCTCTGTGAGGTGGTCCGCCAGTTCCTTAGCGTGGTTCAAGTAATCTGCATGCTCGCTCATGTGCAGCGGTTTATCCAGATCCGAGAGGATTACGCTCTCCAGCAGAGGACTGGGCTTGGGCCGAGGCCTTGAGCGGGACCTCAACAACTGATGGGGATGCGGATGGTGGTGGTAATGATGGATAACCTTGTGGGCGCCCAAGTCCGGTTCCACCGCTGCCTCCTCCTTGGGCACATGAACCTTGATGTGAACATACTCATTGCCAAATCCAAGCACAGATGCTAGCTGTATCAATAGTAGTGCCAGCATCAGCAGCCATGCTGCCGGAAGGGGTCCGGGTCTATACCATGCCATGTCACCGCGTCGAGTGCTCATCACCTTATGGCTTATGGTCGCCGCCTTGCCGAAATCGGTTTAAGCCGAAGTCTTTCTTTTGTCAAAATTTATATACACCAGCCAATGTGCCGGCGATGACAAGCTCTTGACCTACGAGCCCGCAGGTGAAATGCGTAACATTATGTTTCCAGGTCGCTGAATTTATACCCTATCTCGATGGAAAAATTAGTTAAAGAAGCAGAAGGGTAAGTGAAAGTAATAATATTTTTACTTGAAGTTAATAAATATATAATAATATTTGCATCAAATAAATCTTGAAACCTTTTATTCTACTATTTTTTAGAAGTTACTTTGCTTAGGAGAAAGTTAGATAATGAAGCTGATGAAATTCTTTCAAATATTATGTTTATAAATGTATGAATAATTCCTTTGTAAATGTAATATGTTTTGAAGAGGAATATAAAAGAAGCTTCCTAGACATTAATCTTTATTAAGAATAATTTATTTTTATGAATCTTTTGATAGTTCGCCTATTATTGGTATTCTTGCTGCCCTTAAATTATAGATAAATATATAAGATAGATAGCACACTGTGTCCCAATTCTGGTTTTGATAAGAGTATACATTTTCAAAAGAAAATATGTAAGGATCATAAGAGATAGATGGTTATCTGTTCTACTTAAAAACTTGATTTTCAAAAATGAATATTATTATTTAACATTTTGCTTTCGATATCTGGATTCCTCAGTAACGCAGCTAACGGTATCCCAAAATCCACAAGCTCCACACTCACACACAGGTGAGTGTAGCGCAGAAGAAGCAACTGTAAAATGATATTTCTTGTAATCACCGTTCGATAGCGCGCAGCATCAGCATCTCTCTTTCACTCGAACTCTCTTCTTGCCAGCTCGCAGCTAGCGGTTGTTTTCCCCCCTATCTTGGAGCCCTGGCCATGGGTTTATTTGTTTTAACTTTTGTTTTCATTATTATTGAAATGCGTCGCATATATATGTATTTTTCTAGCCGCCAGCCAAACAACAATAAAAGGCACAGACTAACGAAAGTTAATGCAGATTCAATATTGAAAGCTACGATCACTCCTCTGTCTCTCACCGTGTTCGATGAACCGATTACAGTCCGGGGAAATTCTCGCTACGCATCCATTAATGATGTGTATTCTCGCTTATATAATATCGGCATATAAGCCGTTATTCTTATTGCATCGGCGTCAGGTCATTCTATGTTATTTTGCCACGAAATTTCCAAATCAAAAACACATTTAATTGTGATGCTAATGGGCCGCGAGATGCTGAGAAAGTTGTGGCATCATCATCATCATCGGCGCGACTTGGAATGCTCTCCTCTCGCTCGACTAGCAACAGATAAAATATAATATACAAAAGACGGGCGGCAACAAAGGTAATTAAATTATCAATTGAATATATTTCGAGAATTTAATTTATTCGCATTGGATTGTCTGTAAATTCTGAAAATCTATCAGCCCGAAAACCGATCTCAAATCTCATAAATAATGATGAATCTCCCGATTCACACGCTTTTCATTTGGCGTGGAAATTTACCAGAAAACAAGAAAGGAAATAACCTAGGGAGGCCGAAGTTTATACACCCTGAAGTTTGCAATTGAAATATTGAATGGTATGGGAAATTGATCACACAAAAGTTTTAAAAAACTAACATTCGTATACATTTTTCACAATTTTAATTCAAATTGGATTCGAGTCTGCGCTTACTTCCAGACCAAGTTCTAAAGAAGTTCCGAAACTCCTCTAGATTACCTTTGTACAAAAACTAATCCTTCATCTGCTGCCTTCTGTTAGCCTGGTATTTGAAATACAGAAATTGACAATTTTATACTGAAAATGAAATATAGAAGGCTTGTTTTGGCCTACAACAACAACAAAATTTTTTTTTACAATTCTTTAACAACAACAACAATAACAATTTGCAGATTACAACTGCAAAAGTAAAAAAATATATTCATTTAACTGCTAACAGTAAATTCAAATTTAAATAGACCATCAGTACCCGCCATATCAGTTGTAAAGCTGCATGTCAGAAGCCGATAGTCAAAGCTGCTCATGGTTGCAGGAAACTTGCTGAAAGTCAAAGCGGTCACACTTCGATATATATAAGTAGTGAAAAATGAGTTGGGCACACTACAATAAGTTTTATTTCGATGACAATATTTCGATCTAGGTACATGGCTACATGTCATCAAGATCTTGGAGCCACCATATATTATCCTGCCTGGCTGTGTTTATGAAGTGAGCAAACAGATAATCCCCAAACAGAGCGCGGCTCGAGCAATTAAATGACAAGCCAGCACGCAATACGAGACAAATCGATAAGTATTCATGAAAAATAAATGGGAATAGCTGCCGCCAGTGGAGCTGCACCTGCCCCCCACAACTCACAAAGGATGTCGTGCGGCGTTTTAGTGGTGGCCTAATAGGAGGAGGGGTCAAAGCAGGCTCTATTTATAATGCTTTTTTACGGCTGCATCAGCCGTTCATAAGCGGCACATGGCTGCATGTCATCAGCCGATCGTCGCCGCAGCACATGGTTGCAGGCAACGGGCGGAAAGTCAAAGCGGGCACACTTTGATATGTAAGTAACGAAAAATGATTTGGTCACACCACAATAAGTTGTATATATCGCTTTATTTCAATGACGATATTTGGATCGACTCACATGGCTGCATGTCATCAAGATCTTGAAGCCATCTATTTCCTGCCTGGCTGTGTTTATGAAGTGAGCAAACGGATAATCCCCAAGCAGAGCGCGGCTTGAACAATTAAACGAGAACCCAGCACCGCCAAATAAGCTGCACCACCCGCACCCCTCCCCATTCAATTCACAAAGGACGACGTACGGCGAGTCAGTGGTGGCCCAATAGGACTAGAGGACTCTATAATCCTTTTTTATGGCTGCATGTATGCAGCTCATCGTAACAGCGGCACATAGCATCATCACAGCGGCACATAGCTGCACGTCATCAGGTGAATGTCGCTGCTGCACATGGCTTCATGTCAGTTGATCGTCGCTGCTTAAGATGCCTCCATGTCAGCTGATTGTCACTGCAGTACATGGCTCCATGTCAGCTGATTGTCACTGCTGCACATGCCTTCGTGTCCTAACTGTCAATGCTGTACATGGCTCCATGTCAGCTGATCGTCGCTGCTTAAGATGCCTCCATGTTAGCTGATCGTCTCTGCTTAAGATGCCTCCATGTCAGCTGATTGTCACTGCTGCACATGCCTCCATGTCCTAACTGTCAGTGCTGTACATGGCTCCATGTCAACTGTCTTAATCAAAGCTTTGTAAAGCTGCATGCCGGAAGCCGATAGTCAAAGCTGCACATGGTTGCAAGCTACCAGCTGAAAGCCAAAGCGGTCACACTTCGATACAAAAGTAGTGCAAAATAAGTTGGTCACGCTGCAATAAGTTGTATTTCGATGATATTTCGATCGTGGCACATGGCTACATATGTCATCAAGATCTTGGAGCCACCATATATTATCCTGCCTGGGTATGTTTATGGAGTGAGCAAACGGATAATCCTTAAGCAGAGCGCGGCTTGAGCAATTAAACGAGAACCCAGCACCGCCAAAGAAGCTGCACCACCCGCACCCCTCCCCATTCAATTCACAAAGGACGACGTACGGCGAGTCAGTGGTGGCCCAATAGGACTAGAGGACTCTATAATCCTTTTTTATGGCTGCATGTATGCAGCTCATCGTAACAGCGGCACATAGCATCATCACAGCGGCACATAGCTGCACGTCATCAGGTGAATGTCGCTGCTGCACATGGCTTCATGTCAGTTGATCGTCGCTGCTTAAGATGCCTCCATGTCAGCTGATTGTCACTGCAGTACATGGCTCCATGTCAGCTGATTGTCACTGCTGCACATGCCTCCGTGTCCTAACTGTCAATGCTGTACATGGCTCCATGTCAGCTGATCGTCGCTGCTTAAGATGCCTCCATGTCAGCTGATTGTCACTGCAGTACATGGCTCCATGTCAGCTGATTGTCACTGCTGCACATGCCTCCATGTCCTAACTGTCAGTGCTGTACATGGCTCCATGTCAACTGTCATAATCAAAGCTTTGTAAAGCTGCATGCCGGAAGCCGATAGTCAAAGCTGCACATGGTTGTAGGCTACCAGCTGAAAGCCAAAGCGGTCACACTTCGATACAAAAGTAGTGAAAAATGAGTTGGTCACGCTACAATAAGTTGTATTTCGATGATATTTCGATCGTGGCACATGGCTTCATGTCATCAATATCTTGGAGCCACCAAGCAATTAAACAAGCCATCACGCAATGCCAGAAAAATCGATAACCATGAAAAATAAATGGAATTGCTGCCGCCAGTGGAACTGCACCACCCACACCCCCCCACCCAAAATTCACAAAGGATGACGTACTGCGGGTCAGTGGTGGCCAATTAGGAGGAATTGACTAAGTAGGCTCTATTTATAATGCTTGTTCATAACTGCATGTCATCAGCCCATCGTCCCAGCCGCACGTCATCAGTTGAACATCGCTGCTGCACATGGCACCATGATAGTTAATCGTCGCTGCTGCAGATGGCTGCAAGCAACCAGCGGAAAGTCGAAGCGGCCACACTTGATGTAAAAGTAGTGAAAAATGAGTTGGCTATGCTGCAAAAAATTTCCCGTAATGTAAGGTTGGCAAACTAGCTATTTTATAGCTAGATTAAGCTCTGAGCTTTAAGCTCTAAGCTTTAAGCTCTGCTACAATATAGCTAAAAGGACAACTCTAATTTGCAGCTCTTGCACTAAAATTAATCAGCTTTCTGCGGTTTCTGTTCGCCTGGTACTCCAGGCCCAGAAATTTAAAATTTTGCACTGAAACGAACCAAACTGAAAGCTCGTTTTTGCCGACAACAAAAACAAAAATACGCTTGTTTTCTAACAACGACAGAGTATATCCATTATAAATGTAGGTAACTCTATAAAAAAGGCTTGTTTAAGTGTAGTTTTGGGTTTTTTA